TTATGGATGGATGGATGGATGGATGGATAGATGGAGTGATGGATGGATGGATGGATGATAGAAAGATAGATAGATAGATAGATGGATGGATAAATGGATGGAGTGATGGATAAATGGGTGGATGGATAGATGGATGGATGGAGTGATGGATACATGGGTGGATGGATGGATGGATAGATGGAGTGATGGATTGATGGATGGATGGATGGATGGAGTGATGATGGCTGGGTAGATGGATAAATGAATGGACGGTTTATTTTTGCAATGTTCATTATTGAATTAAAAATGGTGAAGGAGCTTCCACCTAGCCTGATTTTCAATGCGCAGGTTTTTAGATCACCTTCTCCTTGGCTCCACAGGTAGGAAAAGGCTACGGCAGCCATGACAGCACCAAACTGATCTCCACCCGTATCCTTGAGGGATACGGAGACTGGGTGGTCTTTGACAGCATCGTGGAGGCCTCAGCAGTTCAGGCCAACCCCTTCGTGCTGCGCTACCTTCACGATTTCCGCTTTGCCTTCAAAGACGGCATCTTCGTCTACTTCCTGTTTTCGCGGACTCTTGGGGTGCAGGACACCAAGAATTTCACCTTCATCTCCAGGATGTGCGAGGAGGACCAGAACTACTTCTCCTACACAGAGCTACAGCTGAACTGCAGCACCGGCAACAAGTACAACAAAGTTCAGGTGAGGTTTGATCACCATAGATTTATTATTCATTATGTAAGGATCTTGCTCTTTCTTTGATCCTCAAAGTGAATATTTTTTGTGTTTTAATATTCTTTCTTAATTTTCACCTAATTTCACAGGCAGCTTACGTCGCAGAACCAGGAAAGGTTCTGGCTGAGTCCATGACCAAATCGCGAGAGAACGAAACAGTTCATGCCAACGATAGAGTGCTGTTTGTCATCTTTACCTCTGATGAGAACCCATCAACTTCAGCCATGTGTAGGTGTTGTGTTAAAGTGCGATTGTGGCCACTAAAACTGTTAGACACACTTATCTAACAGGTGAAACCGTTTATTCTCACACAACAGTGTCCATAGAGAAAGTCAGTAATGGACCACTGCTGCCTCCGGTGGTCAGTTTGTGACATTAAGATAAATTGTATAATAATATTTCGAATGGAAACTAGTTGGCAGGCCTAACAGACAAATACATCATGCGGCGCTATACGCTGATGATAGCTATGTTTACATTTGCTGCTTGTACGCCGTACGTTGGATTTTTCTCTATTTGCTTTCTTTCATTTGTGTTGTTTTTAACTCTGTACCTCATGTCTCACTTTTGCCCTCAGGTATGTATCCTCTCACAGCCATTAACAGAAGGTTGGTTCAAATCATCGGAGCCTGTTACAGTGACAACGGTTTAATTGATGGGAAATCGGCAGTTTACTCGCCATATTCATCCAAATCAGAAGAGCTGTGTAGCAACAGCAACAATGTGAGGATCTGTGATTTATTAGGATCTCAATCTTTTTTATGTATGTATATTTTTTATATACCGAAAAAATCTGTTCTCACTTCCTTCTACTTCTTCTCTCAGCAAAACATGGCCACCATGTACAGCTGTGGAGCAGAGTTCCTGCCTTCTCCACTGGCCAGTAAGGCTGAGTTTGCCCTGACGTCTAAGCCCTCCTTCACCCGGAAGGGTCACATGACTGCTGTGGCCGTAGCCAGAGAGATGGATCACGCTGTGGCGTTTGTGGGCACTTCTAGCGGAGAGGTAACAAATCCACACAGACAAAACCAATGGTGTGTTGAATCAGTTGGAGGAAAGATTGTCCAATAAACGTGTAATTCTGAAGGTTCTGAAGGTCCACCTGTCTGATCACCCTGAGTTTTATGGTCGAGCGCCGGTCGATGTCACTGGAGACAAAGTCAACAAGAACCTCCTGCTTGACACCAGTCTCCAACACCTGTACATCACCACAGATAAAAAGGTAAGAGCTGCGCACACAACCACCTTAAAGAAACAACATTTCGATCACAGGTTATAAATCTGCAGACTAAACTTATTTTCTTTACTCTGTAACTGAATTTTACAAACTGTTTTTTAAAGCACTTTAATATGGAGGCGGTAATCAAAAACAGCTCCCGATGGTCTGGTTCTATAGACACAATTGCTTGTTGTTGTGATTTTGCGAGATGACCTTAAACGCGTGCTCCTTAATTTGCAGCCGACTTGCTGTCTGCAGCGTAGCTATGGTGCTGACGAGTTAATTAATTAATTAATTGATTAACTATCCCGGGTAACTCATTCAGGAGTGTAAGGTGTGTAATTTCATTAGTAATATGCTAAAACAGACATGAAGATGCTGGTTTACTGCTGCCTCCTGTGGTCAGTTAGTGTAACTGAGATTAAGGAGAACAAAAGATATCAAATTGGAGAATGAGCTAAAATCAGTTTTTTATTTTATTCTATTCTGGGAGAGAGAGAGAGAGTTGTCGTCCACAGTTGGACTCTTTGTCTTTTCCAACCACATTCCCCAAGTTCTTATGTATTATTTTAAGACAAGGTTAACGTGAAAAGGGGAAAGGTAAAAAGTCAAGACCAACCTCCTCTCTTTCTTCTTCCTCCTCCTTCATGCCCAAGTCATAAATCTGAACTCGGACATAAAACACATGCTGAAGCCATTCGGTCCACTTTCCACTACGAGAGGACCTCATTGTCTCAGAAGTCGGTCCAGAACAAACTAGTTCACGATCCATTTAGAACAAAATACAGTGGTAGTAGACTTAGGAGAAAGTTGTTTTTGATTTGTCCTTGGTTTCTCTGTGAATGACTAATGTTTATTTTCCTCAGCCTTGGTTACACTGCTGATATTAGTCATAACTTTTCTAGCATATACACATCCTTCAGTGGCGCAGAACAAAATATGAGAACTAACCAGTCTGGAAATGGGGAAGTTTTCAAAAGTGACTTATTACTGTACATCAAACAGTGCACAGATGTCATTGGTTGATCAGTTATAATTTGGCCCACAGTATACACAGGATAACTATTGTGTCTTTTTGTTGTTGCCATCTTTTACTAAGGATCCCCTGCATGTCCATCCGTCTTAAGAAAAGTCTGCCATGTACTTCACAGATCACCAAAGTCCCCGTCCAGGCCTGTCACCTGAAGACAGACTGTCACTCCTGCGTCTCCATGAAGGATCCATACTGTGGCTGGTGTGTCCTGGAGGGAAAGTGAGTCAATCTTCGAAAACTAAAGTTTTGTCTTATTTTTGCATCAGAAAACGAAGCATTATGAAAACTAGGGATGGCCATGTTATCGGCCGATATCAGCTTAATTATGTAATATCGGTAAGAGTCGTTAGCGTTTTTTCCTCCGATAATGAACCCCAATGATGTGACCTAAAAATAGTGAAAGTGAAACTATTATTTGTGTTGTGCACAGTATTGTCATTGTGACACAGCAAACCATTGTACACAATGAAATGTGTATTCTCCCTTTAAACAGCTGCACGTATGTGTGTGGACAATATTGGCAGATCGGATATAGGAAAAAAGTTAATATCGGACATTCCTAATAAAAACCTAACCCGAACCCAAAATTTAAACTCCCCTCCCCCACTGCATTGGGCAACTACCATTTTCACCGGTGCAAGAGAAAGACTTGCTTTATCCATTAACTGCTGCTATCGTGTACAGTACATATATTCCAATAGCTAGCATACAGTCGTTTTAAATTAACACAAGCTATATTACGTAAGCACACAAGGCAGTAGAAGTGAGTTGTGGTCTGTTATAAGACGGGGAGACAGCCAGTAGTTTGTATATTAACCTCTTGAAACCCAGCAGCTTACATGTCACCATATGCTGAGGATATGTCGATATTCTCAAAAGAATTTAAGTTGAATTATTACAGTTTTTGTGCAGTGTCTGGAGGCTTCCGATTTTATCCTGTTTAGCCCGAATTTACAGCAGTAAAACTTTCTGTCTGTTGTATAAGTGTTGACATGTGTACTATCCATGGAGCCATTCGATTCTCGCTAATGGAAACCATTGCTCCCATTGCCAGACTTAGTTGAGACAACAAAAGCCAAAATGACTGGGGGATAAAACAAATTTCACACAAAGGATAAAACAAAACCAGCTGTTGTACAACCATGTCTGCCGAGAAGTAGTGATCATGCTGATTTCGAAACTGTAAAATTCGTCCACATCCAACCAGAAGTTACTAAACCAGAAGCAAAAGACGACAAGATCATTATATTCCTTTAAAAACTGCCTTCACAGCGTCTCTCACAAACAGGAGTGGCTCATTACCATCCACAGAAACTAGAAGTTCAGAACAGGTGTGTGAAGAATCAAGCTGTCCTTCGACCAAAGCAAGCTACTAACATTTTATTTAGACATCAAGAAGCCATGTAAATTTGGATAAGAGTGGTTTAATACAGTGTTTCCCCAACCTTTTTTTTTTCTGGGGACCCATATTTTAAAAGTCACAAACCTTCACAACCCATGACTCAAGTTTTGAACTACAAAAACAGTAATTGAACCAGCACTAAAGTCTGTAAAATAATTACAAAAAGAAAAACAGGACGGAATGCTTGCATTAAATACATAGGCTATAAATAATTATACACTATTTAATAAAAAAAAATTTAAACCGGCAGCTATTTTTAGGTTGGATGCAGAAAGCTGTTGCGATGACCGCAAACTTCAGGGAAACATGATGCGGGACTACCCCAAAAAAAAAACCCACCTGAGGGTCACAACCCAGTCTTTGGGAAACTATGGTTTAATATGTCCAAATTAAGGGACTAAATAACTGGTGGTTTCCTGCTTTCACATTTGAGTAAAAAATATGTTTAAAATGTGACCAAACCAGCCTGTTTTCGACCAGCAGCTTTTATGTCACCATATGCCGATGATACGTTGATATTCTCAATAGAATTTAAGGTGAGAGGGTGAACGACTTTCTCGTGTTAATTCTCTGCAAGGTGGCGAGAAAGTCATCACTGTGGGACAGTGCATACCAACACTTTTACCTGTCCATTGAAACAGGTGCAGCCGGAAGAAGGAGTGCAGGAGGTCAGCAGAGGTCAACACATGGCTGTGGTCACCTGAGCAGCAGTGTGTACAGATTCAGGCTTTCGTCCCTCCGAACCTCAGCTGCAGAAAGACACAGCAGGTAAGAAGGAGAGTGAGCAGAGAAAGGTGGAGGGCTCACTGGTCCCTGCCATAACCTCGCCGTCTGTGTGACGTCAGTAGTGGTTGTACAGCTCGACCTCCACGAGGAAACAGAGCAGAGTCGAAAGGAAACACTATTTTTGTGACGGATGACGAAATCTTTTGATTTCACATTCTCCTGCATATTAGCCCCGTTTGTGCTGCATATTCCATGACAGCAGCGGTTTGTGCTGATGGTGAGTTAAAGAACAGCTGACTCGGCAAACAAAGGTGGAAGAAGGTGATACAGACACCAAAATGCTGATGATGCTGTGTTTTCCACTAAAGCTCATGTGACCAAAAAAGCCGCGGCTGTTAATGCTCTTTAGTCATCACAAACTTCAAATTTCTTTTTTGTGACTTTACAATTAATGGTGGCGCTTTGGCCCAGAGGCAATGTCTCTGTCATTGGTGTAGAACCCCAGGGTTCACCTCCTGGGCAAGTTCGAATCCCGGTTAGGGCGGTTGGTACCTTCCAGTGGACTCACCACCTGCAGGAAGGTTCAGGAGGGTTGGTACGGTGCAGTGTGATTTGGCTGGTGTCCAACGTATTGTTCCGCATAGAGCACCGCGTGATGACATATTCATCTGCTCCGCTCGCCTAGTTCTAGTTATATTTTAAAATCATAGTTTGATTTACCTACATGACACACACTGACCCCATGAGGCAGTAAACTAGCAGCAAAGTTGCCCCCTGGTGGACACACTGCAGTATTCCTATTTCTGGACCAGATGTTCTTTCTCTACATTCCCAAGTGTTCGTTGGGTTCGTTTTTAATAAGTACGGATTGTGTGGATGGAATGGAAAAAAAACCCCAAGACTTTAAGGTTTTAGAGTTAGAGCTTGAATCAGCTCTAAAGTTTCTAAATTCGCCCATTTTAATTTTCACTTTCTTTCCCTTGCGAGCAACCCTGTTTCTAAACAAAAGGTTCAGGGATTTATCTAAGACTAACAACAAAATTAGTGAAGAATCTCTGGGCACCACCAAGACGAACGCTGCTGCATCTCAATCAGGAAGTTTAATGGGGAAAGGTTGATGTGGACTAACAGGGCTAACTGGAGTGGCACTAACATGTTATTAACACATGCACTTAATTTGCACCTGCTGTTCGACTTGTTCACAATATCCTGAGCAAAAGAAGAGAAAGACAAAAAAAAACTTCTGAAATATGATATTTACAAAACTGTCCCTTTGAATATTAATAGAGTAAAATTTAAAAGACGAAACTTTACTGTTATAAGGGGTGGACAAAAAACGAGTTTGAACGACTGGGAAAACACTGACGCCCCCTGGTGCTGTTTAAAAGTAACTACAGGGACGTAGTACTACGAACGTCGTATTACATCATTATGACGTGTTAAAGTTTCTACAGGAAGTAGAACATTGGATTGTGCTACATTAGCTTTCTTTCGTTTGTTTGTTTTTGTTTTTGTTTTTTGTGGGGATGGGGGGTGGGCTTTTTGCCCTCCATTATGGCTTCCAGGACTAAGTTAGACTCTTCTGATGTTTTTATGTCCTAGATTATAACGTGACCACTGTGTTAGCGTAGGTGAGTGACATAGTTTAGAATGTATCGTATGTGAGTTCTATGGTCAGAAAGACAGAAGTTTCAGCACACCATAGAAACGGAGCTCCAACGTAGTTCCAGGACCCCCTGTTCTTGATATCAAGTTTTGCAGGGCGCAGTACTTCCATTAGTGTTTGTACCAATTTAAATATTTTTTTTTTTTTTTTCTCTGTCACGGAATAGTCATGTGACATATTTACTTTATCTCCTTTTCACAGGTGGACATCAGTGTCCCCAGGCTCCCCACACTCAGGTCGTCCGACACGCTCCGCTGTGTCTTCGGCTCTCACGTCAGCGACGCCGTGATCAGGATGGATGACCCCACACAGGTCACGTGTTCATTGCCCAATCCTGGAGAGATCCCGCCCCCCCTTGAGCAGCAGGGTAGGTGAACACAAGGTTTGGTTCAAAAGGACACCCACTTTTCCCTTTGATACTTACTAGTGTGTTTGTGTGTTTAGATTACGTGTCTGTTCCTGTCAAGATTCTGGTAAATGAAGAAATACAGGTGACGTCAGGAGAATATCACTTCTACAACTGTGCTGCCACAGTCAGGAAGAACCCGAACACACCGTAGGTCTACAGTAACCCGTGGTTACTAAGACACAGCATAATCTGATGTGTGCTGTATATGTAACATGTGTCACCGGTGTCACCCTCTCGTACTCACGCCCTGTGTTGTGTAGGTGTATCTCATGTGTGACCAGTGAATGGGGCTGCCAGTGGAACGCCCAGGATCACAGCTGCAGTGACAGGGACGACAGTGTTCATAGAGATCACATTATCAAGCCTCAGCAGGTGTGTGTGTGTGTACTCGTTGTGTCATCAAATATAGTTACTAATTAAATAGCTCTTCATACAAAGATGTGTCAAGTAAAATAAATTGTCGTTTCACCAGTTAAACCAAAATAAATAAAATATTTAACATTATTTATATACTGGCAGGCCAACTCTAGAACACGTGTTGTGATCTTCCGGACCAAAAATAATGACACTGCGGGCCAGATTTGGCCCCCGGGCCAGAGTTTGTCACACAAGCTCTAGCTTGACGCATTTGACTTATTGTTTAAACCTCTCTCTTTCTCTCTCTCTTTCTCTCTCTCTCTCTCTCAAAGCCTGATCGTTGTCCGCAGTTCGAGTTCCCTGAGCAGCAGCTGATTCCGGTCGGTTTCCAGATTCCCATCAGTTTCCAGGGAAGAAACCTGAATATTTACTCGGTAAGACTTTTTGACCGTTTGGTTTATGACCAAATGTTTTCTCATTTATTCATAGTTGAAGCAAATTCTCATTCCACGTGTCCGTGTTGACAGGGTCACACATTCACCATTGGAACAGAACTGATGGAGACAGATGTAGAGGTCACACAGAAGGATGGGTCGGCGTTCAGTTTCCCAGGTTATCAGGTTGGTATACAGGTTAGAAAGTGAGACTTAGTGACATCTGATGGTCAAGGTGCCCTCTGTCGGCTAAATCGTGACAGTTAAGAAATTCAGAAATATAGAAATAGAAGGTTTTATCCAAAGAAAGTAAAATCTGTTTTGCTTCTTCATCAAACAGACAAATACGATCATGATGAATTGATAGTTGTTCGTTTCTCCGAGTTCTGAATGTCTGTGTTTGTCTGTGTTTAGTTTCTCTATGACAAAGAGCAGGAAGTTAACGTGTCGTTTCACGTCAAAGACCGGGACACAGACAGGAAGATTGACAGCACACTTACGAGTAAGACACACACAAAGTTATTTTTAATCTGAATATTTAAGGATTTAGATTTCGATTGACTTTCTTTATTTTTGTCTCGTGTTTTTCCCCCGCATGTTTACCTGGAACGTCTTCAACCTCCTCCTCTTCCCTCCTCCTCTCGGTTCTCAGTGGTCTTGTATAACTGCTCAGTGAACAGAGGCGACTGCAGTTTGTGTAGAAGCTCAGATGTGAAGTATCAGTGTGTCTGGTGTTCGTCCTTCAGCTCCTGTGTTTACAAGAAACTGTGTCCATCACCTGAGGACACCCAGTGTCCAGACCCTGAGATCACTGACGTAAGAGAGTGACACACACACACAGACACACACACCTTCAACTTCTCTCCCTTGAGAGAAAAAAAGAGGCTCACATATTTTCCAGCAGATTTATCTTTTAGAATCTGAATTTACTTTTGTTTATCAATTCAACCAAACACAACTTCTACCTAACCATTCCTAACTAATAAAAAAAACCAAACAATATACATACAATTTTAATTATGGTAATGCGTGTAAGGTAGCTGTGTAAGGCAGGCGTCATAACCATTACACTATCACACCTGATATTAGGTTCTATGGAGGAAAGTCCGATATTAACTTTTTGTCGATATCTAATATGACGATGTTGTCCAAACACTTCATTTCTGATATTAACCGATACATATATATGCAGCCGTTTCGGTAATTTACTTTCACTTTCACCTCAAAACTATTTTTAGCTAACATCATCTGGGGGAAACCCAGGCATTGCGTCATCGGTTTTCCATTATCAGAGGAAAAACCAATAACCAATAAACTAATTCTTACCGATATTACGTAATCAGTCGATATGAGCCAATAATATCGACTCTTTAATATCGCCATCTTTAGGTTGGATTTCAATATTTGAAAGTGACATTGTCGCCATACTTGACAAACTATCAAAAAATCTAAGGATAAAATATCACAGAGCCGGCTGAGTAGAAAGTGAGCAGAGCTTTTATATTTTGAGCTGATTTCTAATGAAAAAACACCGTCTCTGTTAATGCTTTCAGTTAACAAAGTGTCACTCAATCATGAATAGTGTCACTGAGTAACGATATTTTCATGCTTTAAAAGCAAGTGAAAACAAACATTTTTGCGACAAAGTGTTAGTTGTGGTGAAAACACTGTTGCGATTAAAAACGAATGGATTATATAAACAAAATGATTACAAACTTCTCGTCCTACAGATTATTCCTCGCTTTGGTCCGTTAAATGGACGGATTTCCATCACCATTAAAGGCTCCAACATGGGGATTACGAAGAAGGATGTGAAACAGATCACCGTAGCTGGAGTGGACTGTGTCCACCAGGAGGACAAATACTCCGTCTCCACCAGGTAACATTCAGTCCAAATGTGAATTCTGTGGGATTTATTCTCCTCTCTATGTTGCCTCCTATTGGACGATTGTCAGGAAGGTCAAACCTCAGTGCTGAAATCCCAGTTTTTTTGTTGTCCTGTCCACAGTGTTGTGTGTGAGATCGGGCCAGCGAGAGCAGTTCCTCCCTTCGACTTGCCAGTGGATCCGCCCAACACTGGACCAGTGGTGATTAAATTGGAAGGAGGAAGAGAAGGCACATCTAAGGTCGTCTTCACTTACAGGGTACATTGACATTTTAAATCGTCTCAGTCAGTAGAAACGGCGCTTAAAAAGAGTTCCGCGCACCCACAAGAGAAATGAGAACCAGTTTCAGTGTCCTCAAATCTGACTGTATTTTTTCTGCAAGGATCCAAAACCCGAGTCTGTCGAGCCTCTAAGAGGTCCAGCGGCAGGGGGGACAG